ACTCAGACTCATAATCCCACTCGATTTTACTAACTTGGTGATAAAGTTGAGCCACGTACCTATGTGAAATGACAAAAAAAAAAAAAAAAAAAAAAGAGAGAGAGAGAGAAGAAAAGTCCAACATCAACTTCAATCAAAAGCTGAAAGATTGAGCCCATACACCGAGTTACGCATACATCCCTGTGGAACCTACACGGCAGAAGGGATTGTGACTGTTGTGTCTTCGTCGACTTCTTTCTCCTGTCTTTCGAGATCTGCTTCAATCTCCTTGAGCTCCTCTAGCTCCCTGGTGAGCTGGGTGGACAGGTAGTTAAGGACCTTGGCCTTCAAGAGGACTGCCCACATGCTAACTCCAGATGTTCAAGGAGGCCCAGGGCCTCTGGGTCTAAGCATGTTTTCTACAGTGGCCCCCTGGCTCCTGGGAAAGGATATAGGAGGCTGGCCTTCAGCGCAGCGTCCTCCTCTCCTGCCTTCCGAACCTCGGCTTCCAGCTGATGCAGCTCTGTGCCTCCCTTCTGTGCCCGCTCCTTCGTGTCCAGAAGGCTTTGGGCCACTTCTTGCTCTGTGGTGAGGATCTCTGCAAGGCAGGAGAGAAGCAGGCTTCTTATGGTCTGTCCTTCCCCCAGGAGGGCAGAGAAGATAGCTCAGCCTCCTGTTAGGTCTCCCACTGTCGCCCAGGATGGAGGACAGTGGCACTATCATAGCTCACTGCAGCCTCAAACTCCTGGGCTCAAGTGACCTTTGCTCTTCAGCGTCCCCAAATGCTAGAATTATAGGAGTGAGCTGCTGCTCCAAGCCCTGCAAGTGTAGCAAGAAGCCTGGGACTCAGTTTCTGCAATGGATGAGATAGCCAAGCTTAGCAGCTCCCCCCTACTCCCCCAGCTCTGATCCTCATCTTCCTCAGCCAGGTCCTTCATCCATCCAGGACCATCCTAACAGCCACCCCACTGTTCTCTGCTCTGGTCTTTCCCTAAGCCAACCTGCCAATTCATTCTGTCTGCTATATCAAAGGCCAAGAGGGAAGTCACTCCCTTGCTCAAAGACCTATCATGGCTCCCCAGTGTCTCTAAGATAAAGTCCAGAGCTTGCTTGCTTGCTTATTTATTTATAGACAGAGTCTCCTTTTTTCATCCGCAGTAGAGTGCCATGCATCACAGCTCACAGCAACCTTAAACTCTTGGGCTCAAGTGATCCCCCTGCCTCAACCTCCTGAGTAGCTAGGACTATAGTCACCTGCCACACCACCCAGCTATTTTTAGAGTCAAGGTCTCTCTCTGGCTCAGGCTGGTCTTGAACTCATGAGCTCAGGCAATCTACCTGCCTCAGCCTCCCAGGGCAGAGCCCCTTTAGTATTGTTACCACCCTCGCTGACCTTTCCCATACCATGTACTCTTCTCCCTGTCCATCATTCTGCAGATGTGTCACCTGGGCCCTTGACAAATACCTGAATCCAGCCTTAAAGACTCCCTGGGCAATGCCTGACTCAGGCAGCTGGGCTCTCTTTCCTTTCTTGTTCATGCAACTATGCTTCCATAATAGGCTCTAGCACACTGAATTATTTATTCATTTATTTATTTTTGACAGAGTTTCTTTTTTTTTTTTTT